ACCCAGCAGCCTTCATTATGTTTTTATCTGAAAAGTGTCTCTTATGGAATCTGCTGCTTTCTTTACTGACATACAAACATTTTTCTGTAACATTTCATTTTGTGCTGGAAAACTAATGTTTGGAATCTAAAATGTTTTTGTACTGAATCAATAATGTAAAAGTCAGAAAATAAACATCTATAACAAAGTTTGTACTAAAAAATATAGGGTGCCAAGACTTTTGCACAGTACCATTTATATGTTTAAATTACATTATAGAATTATATAAAGCAGATTTATTTCAGCTGCGTTGTGTTTTCTGCTCAGATGTGTACAGCAGAATACAATACATTTAATCTTCAAATAACTTTTATATTATATGGCTTTTGAGTTGTAAAGTGAAGATTAATAGTAAAAATAACTTATGACCACTGAGACAAGCTGTGTATATAAAAGTGTTTACAGCATTCACACACAAACACACACACACACACACACACACACACACACACCACCTCATCCTAAAGTCTATCTTTGATTAAAGAGCTGCATCCTAAAACACACTAGTACGCTACACAGAGTGAATGAATAACACACTGCACTACGTACTGATTATTTTAACACTCAGCGACTGTGCACAGACTTCTGAGAAGACTGAGGAAAGCCCATCTCCCTCCCCACATCCTCACCATGTTCTACAGAGGGACTATCGAGAGCTTCCTGAGCAGCTGCATCACTGCCTGCTTTGGGAATTGCACCGTCTCGGATCACAAGACCCTGCAGCGGATAGTGAGGACAGCTGAGAAGATCATTGGGGTCTCTCTTCCCTCCATCACGGACATTTACACCTCACGCTGCATCCGCAAATCCACCAGCATTGTGGACGACCCCACACACCCCTCACACACACTCTTCACCCTCCTGCCATCTGGCAAACGGTACAGAAGCATTCGGGCCTCACGACCAGACTGTGCAACAGTTTCCTCCCCCAAACCATCAGTCTCCTCAATACTCAGAGACTGGACTGAAAACACACACACACACACACACACACACACACACTCATACTCAACTGAACACCACTCCGCTCCCTTTGCATTTTTTGCACATTTCTGTATTCACTACCTGCATTTTTACTGCTACAGTATTTATAAAATATAATTTCTGGTAATTAAAAACTCTCCTCTCTACCTGGCTGCTTCCCCAATAACTGCTATGTCCATATATGGTATAAGCTTATCTGCTGAATACTGTGTCATAGTATGTTTTGTTTACATTCACAGCAAGTTATTATATTGTTATTCTTTTGCACTACTGTTATAACTGACATTTTTATCCACACTAGAACTGTGTGCTGGTCGGCGCTGCACTGTCTCTTACTGCGTCTATTGTCCTGGTTTAGTAGCTACTGTACTGTCGCGTGCTGTTTGCATGTGCACTTTATGTAGTACTGTGTAGTCTCATGTAGTCTCATATAGCTCTGTGTTGTTTATGCAGCAGCCTGGTCCTGGAGGAATGTTGTTTCGTTTCACTGTGTACTGTACCAGCTATATATGGCTGAAATGACAATAAAGCCACTTGACTTGACAGAGATAAGACAAAGAAAAAAATCACACATGTGAGTACTCGATCACACTACCTCAATCAAACACACTGACTTGTAGACACATGTCATTATCACATCACACTGTGTTACGATGTGTGCAACTGATTCCTCCGTTTCCTGTACAGCGTTTTTCTCAACTGGTTTTAATTCGACTGCTGATGTCACTGTCAATGACCTCATTGTGCTCCTCTCACACACACACCCACACACACAGAGACAGGTTTAACATGTTTATTAGGAGTAACTGGTGTGACACACACACACACTTGGTACAGTCAGGTGTGTGTATAAATGTTATGTTAATTAACACAAGGAAAAAACATTCAGCTCTGTTTGCAGAGTCTCAGTGAGGAAGTTCATGAGGAACGAGTTTATAGTGTGAGCCGCAGGACGGACAGCGCTGAGGTTCTCCTTCATGCAGCCAGAACCACACGATGGCTGTGTTATCCTCTTCACCTACAACACACACACACTCAGTTAATGTACGCACTCACACAAATGCCACATGATGATAAAGATAAAGTGATGTGCTGAACGCAGACGTACAGACGCAGCCGACGATGCGCTTGTTGTTGATAGAGGGGACGATGTGTGGGTCGTCTTTGGAGCCAGCGTACTGCTTCGGCTTCAACACACTGTATGGGTCCTGAAACAACACACACATACACTTAACACACACTCTGAGCAGGTCAGTGTTAATCAGTGTGTTAAAACTGAGATAGCTTTAGCTGTTCGTACCGCGCCGGCCTTCAAGGACTTCAGAACTCTTTTCTCCAGCCCAGTGGCCTGCTGTTCATCAGTGGGAATGCCTGAAGGTCACACACACACACACACACCTGTTAAATTCATGACACTCTAAGTGCACAGAAACAGGCTTCATAAAGACATCTACATGAAACTCCGGAAATGTAAAACCTCTTTAGGTTCTTTTTTTTTCCTTGTTTAAGGACACACGAGTTCCCTGAATTGTGCATGTGTCCAGTGTCGAGTTTCCCAAAAGCACTGAATTCTCGCTCCCCAGTTCCGATCAGGACACATTTATTTACATTTATGGCATTTGGCAGATGCTCTTATCCAGAGCGACTTACAATTATCTCATTTATACAACTGAGCATTGAGGGTTAAGGGACTTGCTCAAGGGCCCAGCAGTGGCAGCTTGGCAGTGCTGGGATTCAAACTCTCAACCTTCCAATCAGAAGTCCAACGTCTTAACCACTGACCTACTACTTCCCCAGTTAACACATTCCTAACTGTGTGATGCTTTTGGGAAACTCAGCCCTGATGATTTACTGCAGCGGTGTCTCAGTGGTTAAGGCTCAGGTTATTGATCAGATGGTTGTAGGTTCGAACCCCAGCACTGCTGCCCAGAGCGCGACCTTTCTCCATGAAATTGTGCTTTCTTTCTGCAGGAACACAACGCTGGGCTGTTTTAATGCTCATAATTTCCACACTTCCCTTTATAACTAAAACACACGTTAAATATCTTTCCTTAAGCATTAAAAAAAAGCACCAGTTGTCAGATTTACAAATAATAATAATAAAAAAATTTGAGCATCTTAAACAAACTGTATGCTTTAATTACAGCAAATGCACACTAACATTTATAATCTCTGATCATTACAAATAACCACAAATCTTGAAAATGACGACTCATTAAAATAAAATAAAATAAAAGACCAGCACCAAAAATAAAACAGGTTATAAGAGTAAAGAGTTAAATGCTGATGTAAACAGAGAGATGAATAAAATGGAATCTAAGTGAATTATTTCCCGGAAGCAGTCAGAAGGCGTCATGAAGATATTTCTATAAAATAATAACCTTCTGATAACACTGATAAAATTCACGCACATTTAATAATTAAAATAAATAAATGTAAGCAGTAAAATCTGAATTAAAGGCAGTTTGGATTGTGGGAATAGTGAATGAGAGCGTTACTCTGACTGAGCTGGTCTCAGGACGCCATTGCTTGTCCTTGGCCTGTTTTCAAGCGAGTCATTATACTGAAGATAAATAATAACTGAAACTCTACATTACTGAAATAAAGTGGTTAGTAATCCGCTCACCTCCAGCCGCCATTCCCCTGCTGAGGAGCGGAGCGGGAGAACCGCGGCACAGCGCCGAGGCCCGGACTGCAGCTCTCAGTAACCTTGCGGCCATTTCTGCTTCTGCTTCTGCTCCAAATGCACCGGACGCACACTGATGACGCAGAATGACGGCGGCGGACTGGCGCATACAAGTGACGTCTTACTCATACATGGAGGTGGTCACGTCACACCGATGCTTTTACTCTTAAACATGGATTTACATGCCATCCAAAACAATTCTTTACTGTAATATCAGCTGTTCTTTCCGGAATTCAATTATTAATGAAACGTTATTTATTATATGGACAAATCAGTCCAACTCCTGCTTCATTATACTGAGTTTATAAGTGAGAAATGTTCTAATAGGTAAATTAGTAAAGTTTTAAACAATCATTTTTTCCCTTTTTCAGTCTGTAAGAAATAAAGTAGATCTCTCTTTTGATTGGCAAACTCTTAGATATATTAGAGCCTCTTATCTAAAATTTCCGTTTCATCCTAAAGTTAAAGAGATTCACTTTAAACTACCGGCTGATGTCCATCCCAATGCTCCTGAGAGCTGCTTTAATATCACAGTGTGCAGCTCTGTAAATCCTGTGAAAATAACTCTCAGCACATTGTTTTCCCATGCAAACTCTCTCCTGCTTTCTGAGGAGTGCAAGTTTAATTAACTGATAAAAGGTAGCTGTTGTGAACTTGTCTTTTGTAGATATTAAATATGGGAACTATAAAGAAGAAGGCCATATAAGTTTTTTGCTAAATAACATTATCTTATTGGCGAAGCATTTTATCCACAAATGCATATATATATATATATATATATATATATATATATATATATATATATACAGTCAGGTCCATAAATATTGGGACAGTGACGCAGTTTTGGTAATTTTGCCTCTGTACACCACCACAGTGGATTTGAAATGAAGCAGTCAAGATGTGACTGAAGCGTAGACTTTCAGCTTTAATTCAAGGGGTTTAACAAAAATATTGCATTAACCGTTTAGGAAT